GTTTTCTATAAACATTGTACTGACATTGTGATCTAACCATTCTGTTAATTTGTCAGTGTGTGTTTTCTATAAACATTGTACTGACATTGTGATCTAACCATTCCGTTTATTTGTCAGTGTGTGTTTTCTATAAACATTGTACTGACATTGTGATCTAACCATTCCATTTATTTGTCAGTGTGTGTTTTCTATAAACATTGTTCTGACATTGTGATCTAACCATTCCATTTATTTGTTAGTGTTTTTTTTTTTTTTATATAAACATTGTACTGGCATTGTGATCTAACCATTCTGTTTATTTGTCGGTGTGTGTTTTCTATGTACATTGTCCATCAGGTTCACAAATAAGTCAACTAGGTCATAATTCATTCATGCGTTTGTTGTTCCTCGAGTAGAGTTACCAGCCTTTTAGACGCATGCATGTACTTTCAAATTTCTCTTTACAGGCATTTAAGGCACCGTTCTCTATCCTTGTGGCACTTTACAGGTAAGTCTTAAACAATAAAAAATTGTCTTCTGATGTTAATTGAGGATTTAAAATATTTGAAGCAAAAAAAAATTCTCACAAGTCATTGAAGAAACAGTAATGTCATTATGAAGTTTTCATATCTGCCGTACCCATTAAAGACACTTTAAAATCATTATAAAGCTTTAATATCATTATAAAGTCTAAATATTGGTGTAATGTCATTATAAAGTCTTAATATTGGTGTAATGTCATTATAAAGTCCTAATATTGGTGTAATGTCATTATTTAAGGAATGATTTTTATTTTTTCAACATTTATGAGGTCATAACAACAATGGGTTTATGGACATATTGAATGAATCGCGTTAGCGATTCATGTAAAATATGTCCAAAAACCCATTGTTGTTATGACCTCATAAATGTTGAAAAAATAAATATCATTCCTTATATTTACATTGACGAATCCTTTCAGTGGATCGATATAACAACGAATAAAACAAATAAACAGGGTTTGTTCCTGCTTATACACGGGTGCAACGCAGTGGCGAGAACAGTGTTTTTTCGCGGGGAAATGTGACACTATCGTGAGAGATCTTAGCAACCGTCAACAACAATAACACAACAAAATGTAGTTCCATATTCAATGTTTATTTGTAGCACAGGACACGTAAATACGTGGATATTTCACAAAGCACAGTTCAATAATATTTTAAGATGTAAGAATTAAGCATCTAGGTCGGTCGTTCCGAGTGAGTAGTTTTTGTAGTGTATTACTACGCAGTGTGATCAGGTTACTATCAGTTTCCACGTGCTGAGATTCTATGAACACCTGTGTTATGCATTTATGAATGTAATTTTTGTCAATGGGTCTAAGCATACAGAATGTAAATATAAAGTTTTAATATTGGTGTAATGTCATTATAAAGTTTCAATATTGGCTGTACCCATTAAAGTCACTGTGTGATTGTTTACTGTGTAGTGGGTTCACGTCCAGACCACCCATACTGAGTATGGCTGAGGATGAAGTAAAAGAGAGAGCCCAGCCTCTCACGGACACAGACTTACACGACAAACAAAACGGTAATTGCTGTCAATAATAGAATTTCCAATGCTGTCAGTCCAGAAGTGTATAAGTCCCCAACCACTGGAGGGGACTTAAAGGCAGTAAAATAAATTTGGCATGTTTGAAATATCAGACTTGTTTTATCTCATATTTTAAATGCATTACCTGTGGTTTAAATGGCGATCATAATATATATCTGATAATCCCTCTTTAGATCATACTGTCCTCAAAAGATGTCATAATATACTTCCCTCATGATATCTCCCCAGTTGGACCTCAAAATAAGGAAACGTAACGGGGAAAAGTTTCTTGGCAGATGAGAATATGATCAAAGCTGAGAACAAATGACTAAATATACAGTAAAACCTCAACATCCTTTCCCGTTCTTTTTCTAATTGATTACTTTGTATGTCTCTCTCAATATAATGCCAAACCCCTTTACAATGCCATAATTTCACAGGACAATTTGTGGCAGTATACATTTTAACAATGCCAAATAAAGAAGATCACCCTATAGCTAGCATCAAATAGCCGTTGAGGAATGATTTTGCATTTGTGTTGAATATTTTAAGATTTGAGGTTAATAACAAATATTTATATCTCCATCATACAAGGGCAATCACTGTATTATTTTGAGTGTTAAATGATTAATTTCAAAAAGTTATTTCATTGTAGGCCGTTATGTTGGTGGATTTGAGTGTATGGAGAATACGTTGATGCAGAAAGGCTTTATTCAGAGAGAAGATGCAAGAAATCCCACGTAAGTTTGCTTTATATAATTTCTAGCTCACCTGGTCTGAAGGTTGGCTATGTGCTCTGTGGATTGTATGGTGTGTCTGGCCATCAGCAATTTCTTCAGAACAACTTCTTCTGAACTGCTGAACATGATATCACCAAAACCGAAAAAAAAACGCAGATTGTGGGATGTTAAAAATGTTAAATCAGAAGGGCTGACCTCTCAAGAGGTACAGCCAGTTTTTAGGCCATGCAATTCAAGATTCTGTATTTCACACATTGATAATACATGATATTGCTGAATAGAAATCCTTTTTGGCTGGAAATTCATCAGTTGTTATCAATTTATCAATTTACGAATTGACATAAAAACAGGTTTAGAAATATGTTTTAGCACAATTTAACCATCATGGTACTATGATGTCATTGTTTTGTCCTTGTTGTTCAGGTAAGTCTTTGGGAAGCAAATTGAATATTAGCACAAGATATTAATGAATATAGTTTTTAAATAAACCCACCATAGACCTTGTTATACTGCCACTGATAATTTGGCATTATAAAGGGGTGTTAATAATGAGGAGGGCACACAAAGGAAAAATAGAAAAGAGGATATTGAAATATGTTGGCAGTAAGCTAGGTTGCGAATGAAGCAAGATATATTGTATTCAGGTTTTTCTTTAAAAATTGTTTCAAAATATTCCTTAAAATTCAAAAGTAAAATTATACATGTTTAGGGTCAAAATGTTTCGGTTTTGAAGAACAGGTTCTGATGTTACCTATTTTATCCATACACAGATATGCTCTTACACACAAGGGACAGGATCTGGCAGAGCAGCTGTTCAGTTTTCAGCAGATTGTGTCCCGTTACCTCGCTTCACAGGGAGTTCCCAAGATTGACATTCCACTCCGTCTCAAGTACGTTGTACAGGTTTGATCTCAGGGTCAAGGTCCTCAGATATAGTTTGAGGACAATTAGGTCTGCTCCTGGTTTGTCTATATCTTTGAACCCAGTCATTTTCTGGATTCTGCAGTCTGAAATAGTTGTCATACTGTTTGAAAAATAAACCGAACAACAAATTGCCATTTCTTGCTTGTTGCTTTGATGAAAGAGTGTTTACTCCTATCCTTAAGTAGACTCTCTCCTTCAGAAATATCTTTTCAAGACCTTTTAACAAAATAATGAAAATATCAGATTAACTGTTCTTGAGTGCATACAACCCTTTCACCACCATACAGCTATTTCATCTTTCCCCTATTGAAACAAAATTCCACTTATTGTGATTTGAGCTACAGGTGGCCTATAGTTAGGGTGCTCATCAACCCCACATCTTACACCTTCAGCTGACCTGTCCATCACGACGCAGCATTTACCAGATCGCAGGATTTGACCACAAACATGCTGTTCTCTATATTGATACCTCTTATTTTAAATGTATAAATATGTAGATGTTTCTTTTTTTTCTCATTCATTAACTTATTATTGACTCATTTTGTTACAATGCTATATATTCCCATTATAAATCCAAATGAAATTGGTTAAATTCATATTTTAAGAGATCTTTGTTTCTTGAATTTGTAATGTACCCCATATTTTAAGAGATCTGTGTTCCTTGAACTTGTAATATACCCCATAATTTAAGAGATCTGTGTTTCTTGAATTTGTAATGTAGACCATATTTTAAAGAGATCTCTGTTTCTTGAATTTGTAATGTACCCATATTTTAAGAGATCTGTATTTCTTGAATTTGTAATGGACCCTACACTTTAAGAAAACATTATTGATACTGTCTGTTAATTTTCTGAACAGCACAACTTGTGGAAGGAGAAAGATTTGTCTGATCATTGATGAACAGGAGCGTGACCGCGAGCGACTGCTACGCCTGGCTGCTGCCCGCAACATTGATGCACAAGTACGACATTTACCTTCTGGTGACTACATCTGGATACTGACCCCACCGCTCACTGACCCACGACAAAAATACTCACAGAAGATTCCAGACCAGGAACTGGTAAACACTACTGTGACTATAGTACAACTATAAATGTCAATTTATTCCTCAGCGACTCGGATCATTTGTTGACAAACCAGCTATACATCAGGATTATTTGGTCCCCTTAGGACATTTCTAGTTGTATTTATGTTTAAATTCCTTTAAATAAGGCATGAATATATATAAAATAGGGATCATTTCTTTTTCAAACTGAGGCTATGATAATCACTATTCTTCAGTCTCTTATTCAGATATTTTACAGTATTCTACAATGACACATAAATTATATACTATAAAAATATCAATGCATTCAAGGAAATCTTTTTTGTGTTTTTGACTTCACTACAATGTATTTTGATTTTTCATTTTGGTACACAATCCTCCATGACCTATTAACATGACATTTTGGTACACAATCCTCCATGACCTATTAACATGACATTTTGGTACACAATCCTCCATGACCTATTATCATGACATTTTGGTACACAATCCTCCATGACCTATTATCATGACATTTTGGTACACAATCCTCCATGACCTATTAACATGACATTTTGGTACACAATCCTCCACGACCTATTAACATGACATTTTGGTACACAATCTTCCATGACCTAATAACATGACATTTTGGTACACAATCCTCCATGACCTATTAACATGACATTTTGGTACACAATCCTCCATGACCTATTAACATCACATTTTGTTGCAGGTTTTACCATATATTGTTGAACGAAAATCTTGGGAAGACCTTTAGGAGAGTGTGCGTACTAAACGGTTTGACAAACAAGTCAACAATATGATGGTAAAGTACTTCATTACCAGTAATCTTTTGTAGATCTATAATATTAATAATTGACTCTTTTGGTTCATACAGGTAGTATATGGGCGGATTGGTCGAGTGGTTAACACTCCGGCTTTCCATGCAGGGAGCCGGGGTTCGATCCCCGAAGTCGTCGTACGCATAGATATTCAGAGAAAGCGTCATATCCGTCCTTCCATCCGCTATGTTGTTCAGGCTCTATGTCCTACACTACTAGTCACTGGAACTTCATACTTGGTGTATGGGTTCACCTTGGTGAGGCGGTGTGTCGTGTATCAAAAGTAGGTCACTCTGACCTACATATGACTTTTGACCTGCATCAAAGAAAAAGTTTGTCCAGGCTCTATCTCCTACACTACTAGTCACTGGAACTTCATACTTGGGGTATGGGTAAACCTTGTTGAGGTGGTGTTTTGTGTGTTGAAAGTAGGTCACTCTGACCTACATTTTGACCTTTGACCTGCATCAAAAAAAAGTTTGTCTGGGCTCTATCTCCTACACTACTAGTTACTGGAACTTCTTGCTCGGGGCATGGGTTCACTTGCATTGAAGAAGAAGCATACATAGTGTCGTCAGATGCAATTCAATAGTAAAACGGTACCACTAACCAGTAAACATCCACCTGATTTATTTGCAATAGTAGCACTGACACTATTCCTTATTGAATATGGTGGGTCTGTCAAACATTCATATATAGAATTAGTTCCTGCACGAATTTATCATCTGTGCATTTCACATTTGGAGGGGGACTATAATTTGCCGTATTGTCTTTGGTTTTTTTTTTATGATCTGTAAAGTGCTTTAGAGTGGCTTATGTTAGCTAGATAGGGTGCTATATCAAATGCTGTATATTATTATAATTATCATTATATGTATTTGTGTGTGAATCCTTATCAAGAGCACTAACCTATGGTAAATAAAATCATGTATCAACCTCATCAACACTCTATAATTGTATATTGTTAACTTCAAGAAATATCAAATCCAAACTGATGATAATGCTGATGTGTTTGTGTTTGTCTGTCATACAAATTATTGTATAAAAATACTCAAAATTACTGTTAACAATTAGGCTAGGTTAGTTCATTTGCAAGAACTGATGCAATTAAAAGGCTGATGATCATGATATGTCAAACTGTTAAAGCATTTAATGCAGGAATAACATGACCATTTTAGGTGGATTATTTAAAAAAAAATGTACCTTCAAATTTGATTTAAAAAATGGATGCCTTATTCAGCAATTTATCTATCAAGGGAAGACTAATGTTTTAATGTTTCTGCTGCATTGTGTTTCAAGGAAAGTGGTTTAAAGAACATGTTTTACCTAATGGAGGGATCCGTCGGCTGTATGAAGTACAAAATGACAGAGGAACAGCGGGCTAAACTCAAGGTAGGAAACATGAATGACATCTCTTTTTACCTGTAACATAATATCATAGCTCTGCACTTGGGATATAAAGCATTATTTTTAGGTCACCTGAGCTTTAGCTCAAGTGACCTATTGCTATCCGTTTTCGTCCGTCGTCGTCCGTCGTCCGTTGTCCGTTAACATTTTACATTTCAAACTTAAAGTCAAGTTCTGCTGGGCCGATTGAACTGAAAGTTGGTAGGAATGATCGCCTCATGGTCCTGACAAAGTGTTGTTATTTTTCGGGTCGATCAGAAATCCAATATGGCCGCCACGGCCGCCATTTTGAAAATACCTATTTCAAACTTAAAGTCAAGTTCTGCTGGGGCGATTGAACTGAAAGTTGGTAGGAATGATCGACTCATGGTCCTGACAAAGTGTTGTTATTTTTCAGGTCAATCAGAAATCCAATATGGCCACCACAGTCGCTATTTTGTAAATACCTATTCTAAACTTAAAAACAATTAATAATTGGCCGATCTTATTTAAAATCGGTCTAGGAATGATCAGCTCATGGTCCTGACAAAGTTAAGTTAACATTATACTTAACTATTTTTTACTTAAATTGGTACATATTTCAACAACAAAAATAAATACTGTAGGACTCAGGTGACCGTTAAGGCCCATGGGCCTCTTGTTTACTGAAACATGTCTTTCTTAGGGATTGGAGAAAATGGAGAAAAACAATCTTTTGCTCACTCTGAAGGTAAGAAAATTAAACCCCTTTTGGGAGAGATGTAAAAATTCAAAATGAAAGTGGTTGAGATCCCCACCCTATATCCATTATACAATTGCAGAGTATGAAGGAACAAATACACTAAACATAATTCTTAATTATATAAGCTACCATGACTGCCTCTGGGTCTTGCTGTCCCCAGACCATGAGCATTCTTAGGGTACATGTTGCCTCTCCCTAGGGACTTCGTCCTTGTCTCAGCATATGTTTCTTGAACTCTTTTGATGACCATATATACCATATTCAACAGATTTTAAGTTTAAACTAAAATTGCAAGTGAGCTATCAAGGTTTCTAAGCCTTCTGTTGACTTCACCCCACATTGTCTTTTCTGTGTATGTACAGGGTGCTGTGGAGAGGCTGATGCTGCAGAACGGGTTTTACGTTAACTACACAGCATCCTGGTTTAAGTCTGCCCTCTGGCTGGTCTGGATGACGAGCCTGGTGACATCAGCCTTCTCACAGGGTTTGTTGGCCTTCATCCAGGATACTTAGTTCTTGTGTAAAGCATGTACTTATATATATAATACATATGATAATAAATAAGTCCTTGCGAAGGAAAATATAGAATAAAAACATAAATCTTTTAGATCGTCTGCTAGGCCTTTCTGCCTTCTAGGGCTTCTTCAGGCGGATTGATACATATGATATAGTTATAATTTAAAGGGACATCACGTGAAGAGCCATATTTTTTTTAATGAATGTATGTGTTGTATGCACTTCCACTTATGTTACCTTGCTATTCCCATATTCATAGTCCGTTCCAAATGTCCAGTTTGACCACTTGAATTCTTCGAGAAAGCCCTGCTAAAAATAGCGCCGATAACCTCACCTAACGGTTTTGAAATGAGGCAGTAAACACAGGTGATGCAAAGTTTTCAAAGGCAACTGCAACTTCTTACCACACTATGAAACCAAGGAATATGATTTCTAAGCCCGTGTTGAAACTTGTTGAATCAGTAATTATTCATCATCAGAAGTTAATTGTACACATGCCAATATTCAGAATTTAAATGAAAAAATATTTGTTGGCATCTCGGCATTATTTATAGACACCAGAAATTATCTATTACTGGAATGTGACCGGTACAAATGAGTACGGGGCTAAACACCTTCCCTAAACCATGGGACAAACCTTTTACAGAAAAGGGATATCCACAAGACGAATATCCCTTTTCAAATGTTTTCTTAAAGTGTATATATGCATTGACAAGTATAAAAAAGAGAAACGTTTGTGATTTTTTTATTACATTGTACAACTCAATGTCTTTGGCCACTTTTTTTCTAGACCATGCATTATATATATTCATGTATACTCTCTTTCCCATTTTCACTATATTCATACGCTAACACTTAGTAAGTCATATTAGCCATCACACACAATAAACATTTCTGGCAAAACCACTACATGTACATGTAGAATATGTGTCAGATATGGAACGTGTTGAGATACTTGATAATTATATGTTTTCAATAATTTACATAGATTAAAGCATACTTGCAAATGGACCCTTTTTAGGTCACCTGAGACAAAGTCTCAAGTGACCTATTGCGATCGCCTTTTGTCCGTCGGCGTCCGTCGTGCGTCCATAAATAATTTACATTTTCGACTTCTTTTCCAAAACCCCTAAACCAATTTCAGTGAAATTTTGCAGAAGCATTCCATGGCCAAAGGTCAACAAAAACAGTCGCCGTTTTTGTCCCCAGCCCCCAGGGGCCTGAGGGGCGGGGCCAAAAATGGTCAAATTGACTGAAATTTCAAAAATCTTCTTCTCAAGACCCAGATATGGTAGAATCAAATACTCTTCATAGATAGAAGGGTCTTAAGGTGCTTTACCAAAATTGTGAATTTCTTGACCCTGGGGTCTCACGTTTACCCCTGGGGAGGGGGTAAACTTTACTATAGTTTATATAGGGAAATCACATTTTGGACCAACATTTGTTAAATTTCCATTGGAAGTAATTCAATTT